GATCAAAGCAAAGAGTAATAAAACTCTGTGGATGGGAACCTTCCACTAGCATGTAGATGGCGTTGTATTAACCTACTCCCAGATGTTACTTTACATATTCTTTCAGGGTGAAGCCATCATTGCATGCCCAATGGTCCAGCGAGAACGTTCAGGGAATCAAAGCTGAAGGCTTTGGATTGCCTTCCTTTATAACCTTTTCCAAATAACTGAGCTTCAGGATTGGTGTGTGTGTATGAGAGAGAGAGAAACTCTGACTTATGGGCTGGTATTATACATGATAAAAGCCAGTGCGGTCTAGTGATTACAGTGCTGGCCTGGGACTCGGGAGATCTGGGTTTTAGTCCACACTCGGAAATGGAAGCTCACTGAGTGACTTTGGGTTAGTCACTAACTCTTAGCCTAGCCTACCTTGCAAGGTTGCTATGAGAATAGCATTGAGAGGAAAGAAACCATGTAAGCCACCTCTGGACCCTTGCAAGAGGAAAAAGTTGGGATACAAAAGTTATCAGAAGAAGAAAGGTATATATTATGGCCTTTCTCCGTGTCCCCACCACCAGCTTTCACAATCACAGTGCATCGGGGTCCACTTGGAAGTGGGAGGCCTGCAAGGGCTCTGTACTCATCACACTACTCCAGGCGCATTGACAGAAGAATGCATTTTGCCAAAAAAATTGGTCAAAAATTTGCTTGCAATTTGTCCAGATATATGTATAGCTGCTAATTTAGAAACGTCATATACCTCATCACTGCAGTAGAGAAGACTGGGGACAAAGGAACCTATTGCCTACTTAGCTTGCCATTGTTGACTTCAATTGCTGGCACCCACAGCTCTTCTTTCTTATCGCTGTTCATCTTTAAACTGGACTTGAGCTGGACAGCCTTTCAATCAGAAAGCAGCTTCAAACAGAGAACTGTTTCTGTGACAGCCTCCATGCAGAGGACTGTACACTACAAACTAGGAGACATGGTCTTCCTAGATGAAAACTGTGGCACCTATGGGCTTTGGGGACCTCAAGATGATCAGACTCCTTTCTTATGCAGGAAATGTGCTCTGTGTCAGTTACAAATTAAGCTCTTCCTGATGAAAACAAAAACCTCTCCCCTTCAGTTTCAGTTAAAATGGGGGGGGGGGGGGTTGTTGAGGAATAATTATCCTTTTGTCCTCAAGAGGGCAGCCTGCTGCAGTCAATACCCTGAGAAAATCAGTAGTAGTGTTTCTTTCCTCCTTTTCCTCAAAAAAGCCCAAATAATTTAAAACCAGTTAAACCTAAAGAAGCTAATGGTTTAAAGTTGGGGCAAATCGTTTTAAAATGTTAAAGTTGCAAAACTGAAAATGTGGACATTATGATACCTAGGAAAGAGTTTGACTTTGCAAATGTGGTTTTGATGGAAAGGGCAATGGTGTGCTGCCTGAATTTGGCCCTTTTCAAGGACAGATGAATCTCTGCTTTCAAGAACAGCTGTATCACCGTATGAAGAGGTGTAAAAAAAGAAACACTGATGAAAAGGCAGTGGCACCACCATACCTTAATTACTGGCCAACGGTGAGTTGAAATTCAGTCAACTAATAATTAAAAAAGGAAATATCAAGAATGATAACACCTGGAGACCCATGAATGGGTCCTTGAAGTGGTGATCACACAGTGGTTGTACTGCATGGGCCACCACCTCTGAAGTCCCTGATAAACTTTGCCAAATGCAGCACTGTGCATAACTAAAGCGTGCTGGTCGTATGCTTCAGTTAGCCATGCCTTTGCCTTGGTTCTCAAGATGTTAATGGTGGTTACTCAAAAGCAAGTCCTTCTGAGCAGAGAGGATCATACCCTGCACTAAGAATGTGTCCAGGGCTATGGCCATAGCCCTCCAGGGTGGGCATATGATGTGAACGCCGTACTTCTCATTTCAACACCAGTTTCTGTGTGCATAGAACAGTATCTGCTTGTGCTATTAGCTGCATCCCTTTGTGGCAGAAATCGGTGTCCAGCAGGCTGAAAGGAAAAGTGATGCTCTTCATTAAGTCTGAACAGGCATGGCTGCCTTTTGGGGATGCTGACATAGAGCTGTAGTAGGTAAGAGCGTTAGACTGGGATTCAGGATATCTGAGTTCTGGGCTCCATTTGTCCTGGAGGCTCACCGGAGGACTTTGAGCCAGTGCTGATTCTCATCCTAACCTACTCACAGTGTTGTTGTTGTGACGATAAGGGGAAGAAAGACAGGGTATTAATGCAATGCAATCATTAAGATCATTATAATGACTGCTTCATTGTATTTATTATTATTATTATAAGCTGCTTTTTTCAAGGAAGTCGAGACAGCTTATCTAATTCTCCTCCTCATTTCATTTTGAAATCCTACTCAGAAATATGTTTTGTGAAATCTAGGTGATAAAATCTAGGTGATGACATGTGTTTCATAAAACTATTTTGAAATTTGGAATGGATCAAAATAAAATGTCATACTCACAACCTAAGCTTAATTGTGTTGACTCAGAAAATAAAATAAATCCCATTTATTCCAATGGGTTTTTGTTTGAAGTATGTTCAGAATGGAACTTGATGGTCCCAGCAGAAACCTACCGGGTTTAGTGGGGCTTATATCCAAATAAGCATGGATTGCATGACTTGGAATCATGACACTGGAATGACTCAAATGCCATCAAGCTCAGTTCCATGTCCCAAAGCAGAAATACCCATTCATCATGTATATCAAGCCATTGGTACATTCCAGGGAACCACTCTAGAAGCAGAATGAAGGTGCAGTGCAGAAAAGGTGAATGGATGGACCAAGCATTCTAACTGGATATTCTTGAAAATGCAAGCTCCTCTCACTTAATGCAGGCATTGCTTGGGGTGAGCACAACCTGCCTCCCAAGCAGACCCTTCCTTACGTTGGGACTCCCATCCTACCTGGGCCTCTCCAGACAGCTCTTGAGTATTCCCCCCACTGAGGTCCATGGGGCTTGATGCATTGTCACGCATGGCCCTGGGGATTTCCAAGAGGTGTTGTCATGCCTGACAATGTGGCCTGTCCCTCATTTCACCCTTTGCTGCTCTCTGTGGCGCTGTGCTGCTGGTTGGTGTGGACAAAATCCTGTCAGCGTGCAGGGATGGAAGACTGACCTGTGGCTTTCCGCATGAGTCAAAGGAACGATCTCGAAATATATTTTGGATAATAAGGCCGCCCCGCATACGCCTCTGGTTCGATTCCGCGCAGCAAGCAAGCAATGCTGCGCAACACCGCAAAAGGAAGCCAAGAGGTGGCGCAAACCCTCCAGGCGTCGCCCTCTCGCTGCTCGGCGTTTCAAAGGAGCTGGTAAGATATGCAGAAACAGCTGCCTTTGTCCGCCAGAGCAAGCCGACTTCAGGCTTCCAGAAAGAGCGGGGAGAATTTGCCGAGGGATTACCGTACAACACATGCCCTCTTATCTAGCCTGGGAGCCTTCCTCCTCCGCTTAGAAATCTGGTTTCCCCGCAGTCACTTTATGATAGCTAGAAAGAAGCACAGCAGCGTCCAGTAGGTCGCGCTGCTAAACAAGAATTACGCATTGAAGTGAGAAAAGAACCTGAGGGATTGCAGGGGAACATGAAGGTTTACAAGACAGAGAGAGAGAGAGAGAGAGAGAGAGAGAGAGAGAGAGAGAGAGAGAACAAAGATCAGGGTACACAGTGATTTAAAGCATGGGATTGTCTTTCATTTCACTTATGTCCACCGCTTGGCCTCCAGTTTTCCTCCTTTCTGTTCTCTTCCTCACCAAGAATTTGCCGGCTGCTTTCTGGCTTGCATTGACCAGCCCAGCAGGCTGAACTCCTCTGGCTCTGCATCGTCCGGGCGAAGCTGGCCACATGCCAAGCTGTGCCCGAGCCATGTCCTGCAATGTATGACAGCGTGGCTGAAGGGCTCCGACAAAGGGGCGAAGAATGGAGCCTTTGCAGGAGGCGGCGGCGATCGCGTGCCCCCAAAGCCTCCAAATTCAATCGCACTTTGGAAGCGTGCGCGCAAGTGGAGACATTCATCAGCGACAGAACAGATTTGCCCGACACAAGCGAGTCATCAATTGTTCTCCTCTCCCTCCTCTCCCCCCACGTTCCCCCACCGCCCGCCTTCGGCCAGAAGCAAATCCGCACCCCGGTGGCAGGTGGACACTGCTGCTATGAAGAGAAAGCTCCCATTGTTTGGGCTCCAAACTGCCACACGCCAGACTTCGGCTATTGTGCGGTCTCCATAGAAATGCAAACGAGCAGCGTGTGCCATCCGCAATCTGCTCCGCACAGCGGCTCATTAGGGAAGCAGGACTTGGTCTGTAGTCCCCCGCCCCCGCCGCTCCCCTCTTTCTAGTGAACTCTGCAGGAACTTTTTTCCTTTGCATCAAGGCATACTTTGGATCATGGCTTCTGCAAAAAGCCAAGGCGTTTCCAATAGATAATGTAAATACAGGTGCGCCGAAGCATGGGGGAGGCGTCGGGTACAAAAGTGGAACACGGAGCTATGCCCAGAAACAATTCATATTTACGATGCACCCACGACTAGCTTTCCAGTATATATGTAGACGGATAGTAGGGGGAAAGAAATGACTCCATGTTTAAATCTGGCGGGGAAATGCATTCTGCTAACACGGTTTGCAGAGCTAGCTTTTACTGCAAGTGCCACGAGTTGCACATCTAACGCAACATTCCCTCTTTGATTCCTCTCCCGCAACCTGCTCAAGATCAAATATTTCGGTTGCAGTCTGCCTAGTAACATCACAACAAAAGCAGCAGCAGCAGCAGCAGCAGCAGCAGCTTTGAACCATTGTAATCCCCCGCTCCGCTCCACCCCCCCACTACTCGCTCCCCCCCCCCGGTCTCCCACGTGGCCTCCTGGCACGAGCCGGCTCTACTGACTGCTTGCTTAGCATAACAATACACCCCTTGCCTGGCCAATCAGAGCAGCCGAGATCCCGGCAGCTGCCGGCACGGTAGCCGAGCAGCCTATAAATAAGAGAGGGCGGCTCTTCGTTGCTCATACTCGGCTGGGAAGTGCAGAGAGAAGCTTGAAGTTGTGTCAGGGCGGCGTTTGTGGTTCTCCTTTTCTTTCTCGTCCCTCGGCGTTTTCCCGGAAGATCTTTTAACTGCTTGCAAGCCTTGTGTGGATATTTCTCGCGTTTGGTTTTCTTCGCCCGATTGTCTGTTTGGACCATTATGACTCTGGAGGAAATTCACGGCCAGGAACCGATGCCTGAAACGAGCGACAGGTAACTATCCGCCACCGGATCGCCGCTGTTCGAGTTCAGCTCGAGGGGAGGCTACGGGGACGACGGGGCGGCGCTGCCCGGCGGCTGCGGGGCGGGGAGGGCGCCTTTGTGCGCCGGGCGATTGTCTCGCGCGGAGAGCCCTTCGCACGTGCGGAGGCGAACCCGGCGCCCCGGAGACGCGGGTGGGTTGCGGGGACGAGCGCCGGCGATCGGGGAGACCCCCCCTTCCCGGGGCGGGGCTGGTTGCTGCGGGGCTGACGGCGCGTCTTCCTCCTCTTGCTTGTAGCGCCACGAGCAGTTCCGCAAGCGGCGGCGGCAGCAGGCTGCAGAGCGCCGGCAAAGCCCTCAAGGAGTTGCTCGCCTCCTCCCAGCGCCGCGGCTGCCTCACCGCGGGCGTCTACGAATCGGCTAAGCTGATGAATGTGTAAGTATCAGTGCAGGATTGTTTTTATCAAAACCATTTTCCTTGACGGGATCCAAAGCGCCAGTCCTCGAGAGGGGAGAGAGCAGGCTGGTCCCCTCCCGGGCTTCCCCCCTCCCTGTGAAAGATTCCCACCCAGCCGGACTATCACTGGGTAGCTGGACTAATCGCCTGTTCCTTCCCTTTCTTCCTGCAGTGATCCGGATACCGTGGCTTTTTGTGTGCTGGCTGCAGATGAGGAGGATGAGGGGGACATTGCCCTGCAAATTCACTTCACGCTCATCCAGGCTTTCTGCTGTGAAAACGACATCGATATTGTCCGAATAAATGATATCCAGAAACTCGCTGCAATTGTGGGTGCTGGCGAGGAAGCTGGGGAGCCAAGAGACCTGCATTGCATCCTCATAACGGTGAGTTTTCTCCTAGATGTTTGGCAAAGGGTTAACTACAGGATGCGAGCCCTGCTTTCATTTCCTGTAAAAAGCGTCATGTCACTCCGGGCGTCTTGCAGGGCTTTGCAGAATGTGGGATTTCCCCTGCATTTTTTCTCCTCCCACTTCCCCCTTACACTCCCAGAACAGTTGAAAGAGTGCATAGTGCCTGTTGAAACAGCTTCAGGCAAGAGACTGCCAGAGCAACTTGAGGCCACCAAATAGTTCCCATGACATAACTTAAGTGCTTTTGCTGATGGTCTATTCCCAAGGGGGAGGATGTTATAAATGCACTAGTTCCACTGGGAGGGATCTGTGGGGGTGAAGCGGTATCACTTTCTGTCATGCACAAGTGATGCTATAGCTGTTTGGGAGGTTATAACTTTTAATTCTTGTGTTTCCTGCTAAAATATTTCGGTGACTTCTAGCATAGCCACTTTCACTCATGTATCCTTATTCTCTTCCGATTGTTGTAGAATCCCAGTGAGGATGCCTGGAAAGATCCAGCCTTGGACAAGCTGAACCTGTTTTGCGAGGAGAGTCGAAACATCAACGAGTGGGTGCCCAATATCACCCTTCCTGAGTGATGAAGGAAAGCCGCCCCACGCATAGGAGAGGTTGAAACCTTTTGTTGCATTCTCATTCTGGAGCTGCGCATCTGGGCAACCCAGCAAGTGGCTGGTTCTGGGGGTTAGCCTGGTCAGCAGCTTGGATTAAGTCGCTCAGACAGCACGTGGTGGGCTCTTGCAAAGAAAAAGAAGAAAGGAGGAAGGGGACTGCCCTGTGCCAAGAGTGAGTCCCCACTATGCTGCAGCGCTGGAGAAGCTGGCATATCTGTGGAGCTGAAGAAGTTACTGCAAGTCTTTTTGTAGGAGCAGAAGGGAGAAAACTGTTGCAGATTTTCAGGTCAGGTGGAATGTTGTTTGCGTTAGGGAAGATGGAGAGGAAGTTGGAAAACCAGACACAGAAGGCAAAGGGAAGCATGGACACAGTGCCAGGAATGGTTGATGGGGGTAGCCAGAGCCCCCAAGAGACTGGAAGCTTGATAGACTTTGGTACCATTGCATTTCTGCAAAGACTTTGATGCAGACTGATCTGTTGGAGGCCTTTGGACTATGTTCTGCATTAACAACTGATTTTGCAATAATTCTTTATAATTGAAATTCATGCTGCTATTGAAGATCTTATACATTTTTTTATAATAAATGTTGAGAACTGACTTTCATGTGCAGGTGGTCTTGCTTGGGAGGTGGTGGAAAAGAATCCAAAACAAGTTAAAGCTTTGATAAAGCTGAGAGGAAAACAGGAGTTAAATTCCTCCTAAAGGTGTTACAAGGAAGCAATGCTTGGGCCACAATCCAACACACAGTTAAGGACACTTAAGTACAGTGGATTAAGCATGCTTGACTTAGTGTAGGGTTGTGACCCTACAGATTTGCCCTTACTAAAAATGGTCAAGTGTGTGTTATCTACACGATACCTGCTAAAATGCCTAATGGTAGATGCGTGCACATGTCATGGTACACTGTGGAGATAATTGCAACACTCTGGAATGCATTTTTTGCAGTTTACATAAGGAGTGGTTTAATAAAAACACAGGGTTCAGCTACCTGTTCTAGTAAGTCATGATGACTTTGTCTTAGTAAAGCGTACTCGCTAAAACCATGCCATGTGTCTGAGATGACTCAGATATGTATCATTAGCTGAAAATGTTTCAGCCCCTGATAGTGGCTGGATGAATAAGTCTTTCGGTCGCAGTGATTTGACCTTTCACCCACTTCATTGCAACAGCTGCTTATCGCAACAGCTTGCAAGACTGAAGAGCTGCATGTTTAATGAACTTTGCAGTGCTCTAAAAAGACATCTTGCTAGTGAGCTAAACAGTGGAAAGCTGATGAATTATCAGCAAAAAGCACTTTTTCAGTTCCTGAGGCTTGGCATTGGAACCCACACTATTTCTAATTGCTAATTTTACTAATACTGGGTGGCTACAGTGAAAGTTCAGAGGAATTTTCTTTTGGAAGCACAATCACTTTCATTCTGTTTGGTTGCCTTTTCCCCGACAGAGACAACCAGCCTCTCATCCTTAAAACACCAGACACAGTTAGCTAGAAATATGCAGATTGGGTGCCAGTACCTTGCTTCTGCCTCAAGCTGTTGGCTTCTTGTTTGTCTGCCATATGTGGGAACAATAGAAGCTGTCATTTCAGTTCCTTGGTTGTCTCCAAGCACTACTTCCATGAATAAAACATACTAAAACTGTGGTCAAAGCCAGCAATGTGGGCATCTGATTGCTAGCAAATGAACTTAATTTGCCTTTCACCTTGACACAGTAATTTAAATCAGATACCATTATGCACTGGGAAGCAAGTCACCCGTGACCAGGCATATTTCAGTGAAGTGCCTAATACCTCTTTTCCTAATTTTAAAAAAGAAAAACTTCTGAAGGAAGAAAAGATCAGTCACATTTTTGCACCACTGCTTGGAGAACTCTGCAGCAGGACAAAAGGAGAGTGGTTGATCAGTGGCATTCGATTTCCCACTCCAGCAAGGGAGTCCTGGGAGAACAGACATTGGAGGCTTTATGACATCATTTGCCTTTGTCTGGTGTTCAGACCAAGAAAGGCTGGTTGCATCTTTAAAAAAAACTCACTTGCTGCCCAGACAATGGCATTCCAAGCTGTCTTGTTTCCCAGCACAGGACACATAGATTACATTCCACACAGTGCCAGTTGGTATTTGCTTTAACTCTATAAATGCCAACCATGCAAAACCTCTTCATTAATGTTGCAGTTGCCCGAACAGGAGTAGGTTGCCACATGCACAGGCCAACACATAGGGAAAAACTGGTTGTGTAAATACATGCAGGGGTACATCTTCCTGAAACTATGCTCTATCAAGTAATTGTGATGGCAACAGGAGTTATTTACAACAGTAAAATAACATGATGATGAAATCTCTCTAAGTCACGGACACACACGCTCAAGCTATATTATAATCATCTATCAGTGAATCACATTTCCATGGTTAAATTCTAAAATGAGAATTGCTGGGGCTCTGGAATTTGGAATTCTTTCTAGTTAATCCCAGTTGTACTAGGATTGTGGACACTCACTAGCGAAACTTCGAGTAAGCAAACTTAAAATTGCACTGAATGGTCTAGTTTATGCATTAGTTCTCATAAGCTAGTCTTAATTTCTTTAGGGTATCAAACAGATACAGTTACATTTGGAAGGATTATGTAACTTCCCAGAAAATGTATCATTCATCTGATCAGCTCTGTGCCGAATTCATGCAGGAATAAAACAGTATCCTGGAATAGCTTTTCTGCAAAGCATGAGCCAAAAGTGATGGCCTTGAATACCTTAATAAGCCAATGAGCCGATAAGATGGAACTGAGCCTGGAGAACAAAGCATGCATGTTGTATTATAACTGAAGCCCCAGCTTTGGCCACTTTGACCAAAATGTTGTGTACATAAGTTATACTTGTCAAGACGAAAGTTACACTTCATTCTTTCAAGCAGGAAAACAAAACAACATTCCAAATACTAATTGCCCTGCAGTGACACTGTTTCGACCTCATGGCAAGATGTACTGTGAAACAGGTCAGTAAAGGAAGTAAAACCAAATCTAGGCTTGTTTTTCTGGACAACCCACTCCAGAATTTATTTGCACAAAAATCCTACATAGGAGATCCAGGAAATGGTAGAAAGGGGCATCATGTAGTACTGCCTCTCCTGGATCTTAGTCTTCTCTGGCTTGGAGATTTCATGATTGAAGAAAGAGCAATATATACATGTAATGCGATAAAACAGGCGAGCTACCTACAATTTAGGTTGTATCTTGGCCCTCTAAATTGGGTTGATCACTGTGTGACTTCCTAATTGTTTTAGTTTTCTAACTCGCATTATTCCTGACTATTGGACATATTGGTTGGGACTAACAGGGAGTCTCAAGAACAACTGGAGTAAAAGAGCTTCTCCAGCCCTACTGTAGACTATTTTGTGTTCCTTTAATAAGTGCATTCCTAAAGTTTAAGCAGCTCCATAGGAATGAGGTTTTATTCCTACTTAGCATTAGCATGCTAGATTCCAGGCTCATGCTGGTCTCCGAATGCACATTTTCAGGGAATATTCCAGATGGGAGAGTTGGTTCTATGAACAAGTTTGACATGATGATGGTGTAGCAAAGCTGTTATTGGTATCAGTTTGGACCATGATGACTGGGGCCTCAAATGTTCTGACATGCATGCATTGAAATTTCATCACTGCACCCATGTTCCACACATATTTCTGTAGTACCCCCCCACTGTGATGAGCTATCACTTCCGCCTAAGGCATAACATTTACAGATCACATGTCCCACCAAAAGTGGTAACTAACAGTTCAGAATGTTAAATTGGTGGTGGTGGTGGGGAGACTCTGACACATGGTTCAGTGTAAAGTTTTTTCCTTGCACCAATTTTCATGACTGTTGCATGAATGCAACATGCACTTCCCTTTAGAATGAATATACTTTTTTCAGAATCTGAAATATGCCCAATGATTTTCTGTGATATGAAGCAGGGATTTCCACCAAGTACTAAGCTGTTCTCAGTTTCTAAGAAGATGATTACAAGGAAAAAACTAGGTTCCATCCATGGTAAGACACTCACAAGGAATGTAGCTCCAGTTGTGTGTAAACAAGGTGATAAATGCATGAATGTATATGAGGATGCGCAGGTGAATACACAGACTGTATTGGCACTTGGATGTATATTTGCACATTCAGTTTGTGTGCATTCTCAGTTTAGCAAATCAGGTAATCTGTTTATACATGTAGATCCCCTTCACTGGAGATCAATAAGAGCTTTGACTTTGCTGGGGCCAGATGCTGTAGTTTGCTTATACCCATTCAACCTTTACACTAGCATATAAATTTACACATAGTGCAAGTCTGCATCTCTGCAGGTATAATCTCTGCAGGTATAATGCAATCTGGAGTCCACATGTGCACCTTTTAATATGCAAACCATATCCTCCCCAAAAGGATGGAAAAAATTGCATGAATGGAACATTTGTCCATATAGATGGACTTGTTGTAAGCCCTGCATCCATTGGTATATGTATGCATGTGTCCACAGAGTGAACTTGTATGCACATAAGCTCCATGTTTCATCCTAAAGGGTGCATGTTGTGGCAAAGGGAGAACAGTTAATGCTAACAGATGTTTTCTAGAGATCTGTGTCCAGGCGGATGAAACAGACTAGGTTAGGTTCACTAAGTTCATTGCTTACCACTTCTCAAATGCCCCTGTCATTAAATGTCAGCAGCAAAAGTGCAGTCAGATTACATATGTCCCAGGTTCAAAATACATAATATCACTGGATGAAAGCCTGTTCTAATGACCTATGCAGTCTGGAATGAAATATATCGGTCAGTATCTAGGCATTGTACTCTTTGCATGGATACATTCATAAAAAGGTCACCAACATCTATGATAGTGCATTTATTGAAGTGGATGCTACAAAAGCCTATTAAGAACTGGCCTCCAGGAAGTTTCTGGAATATATCAATTTTATTTTTCAATATGCAGTCAAATTTGGCAGTCATTCTGCTTACTTTTCATGCTCCAGTTGTTCTTGGGACTCCCTGTTAGTCCCAACCAGTATGACCAATGGTCAGTAATAATGTGAGATAGAAATCTAGAACAGTTAGGGGGTCACAGATCAAGGCTTTGGACATTACTTGATGGAAAGTACAGATATAATATGTAAAAAAAAAGAACAAATGAGTAGAGATGAAGTAGTGAGCGAAAAGGTTGCTGCAGAAGATTGTTTACTGACATAATGTTCACACGTTCCAGTCTACAAAATGCTTTATTTTACTCTATTTCATTTATCTTCACAACAATGATTAGAGTGCTAGGCAGCGAGTTTCATGGCTAATTCAGGATCTGAAGTTCTCCTCCACATCCAACGCTGACATATTGTCTCAATTTTGCAGATATCCTATACTGGTGAACTGATTCCGATAGGTCTGAACATACCATGGCAACTAACAGCTGTATGATGCTTCTCTTGCAGGGAAGTATAACCCCAGAGTATAGGTGAGGTGAAATTAAACAAAAGAACTCCCTGAGTAAACTGAATATTAAGACTACCTTTCTAGTGTGCTAGGGTTTTTTTTTTTTTTTTTTTTTTGCATGCTTGGAGTTCTTAAATAGAAACTATTCAAGCA